GGCTTCCCGAGGGGCAGGCTCCCGGCGTGATGGGGCTGCTGGGCTCCGGGGCTGCGGTCTGTGCCGCTAATGATCCTTTGCACGGTGCTGCCTAATTTACTGCCGGGTCTATCTCTTTGCCCTGAAACAGAGGTACTGCTGGTCTGTCTTCCATGTTAGACCAACGTCTTGCGGAGGAAAAGCTAGACGCAATAGCACATTATAGGCTGTTGCGATACAATAAACTTTGCAACTGCGTTTTTGGTTTATAGCATGCTTAAAGTATTTTTGCTATTTCAATACTCCAATGTAATTATTTTCCCTTTTTTTTTAATGCGACGATGATAATTTACCTCGTACCACCACATGTTCTTTGCATACCTGTTAGCTTTGTCTTTCAGGCCTGTGGTAACGCTGTCAGTGATGCTGGTGCATGAAGGATTTCAGAGGCAGTGTGTCGAGAAATCACTTTCTCTTTTTTTTTCCCTCCTCATCTCCTTTAGGTTAACTCTGCTGTATTCAACAGTTGTCTTCCTAGCCAGGGAGGCGTTTCGCAGAGCTTGTTTGAGTGGAAGTACAAAGCGAAACTGGACCAAAACAATTAATCTGTTGTGGCTGACGTAAGATACTTTTAAAAATTTACTTCTTTAGAACTTATTTCTAATTCTTGTCTAACAGCTCACAAAACGAGAGCAAGTGTTTATTTACTTCAGCACTGAGCATTTAGTAGACTCAGTCGTCTTTCAGGACTGATACAGGAAACTGGTCAAGTCTGTTGCTTTAGTATTTGTGGACTTGATCTCTTTTTGGAGCACGTGGGAAAGCGCATCTTCAGAGGTGCTATCAGGAGCCATTTGTTCTGTTGCTTACCCTGGAGTTTCATTTATGTTGTAGCTGTGAAAGGAAAACCCTGCTGCACAAATACTTACTCCTTTATTTTTTTCTTCCTCTGCCTGCTCAGTCTTGCTATTTTATTACTTGATAGGCATTTGTGAATCTAGTTTAGATATTTTATATTTTTTTTTTATCTCTCAAACTAATTTTTATTCCAAGTCTTGAGCCCTGATGCAGTTTAATGCCATGGCAACATAAATGTTTGTGTTAGGTAGGAGAGATGTGAAAAGGTGAAAAAGATTTGGAATTGAGCAACAAGGAATAAGTAGGACTACTTCTGTCAACTGTAGTGCCATTTTTAGCAGAAAGTGGGTATCTTAAAGCCTGTGCGAAGCTGCAGCCAACATGTAAATCATGCCTTGCAGCTAAGTGGATTTTATGACTTGTTGCGCTCTTCTGGATCCTGGATACATATCCCTGCTGCTTCCCCTCTGTCAGATCTAGCAGCTGCGCAGCCACAGTTAGGTGTGTTGGGGAGTTTACCTGCCTGATACGGTGGAAAGCTACTGCACAACAAAACAGTAGTCTTCCACTGGGGCACCCTGCTGACTTTCCCCTGGAACTGCACAGCGCTGGCATGGGGAGTTATGCGTGGTCATCTGCATCCAGGTATAAAGAATAGGGATTGTCCCTTTCAGGGGTAGGTTTAATACTAATATTTTTAAATGTATTAGATCTGTTCTCTTTGCTATATTATAATCTTTTTTTTTTTTTTTTTGCTATTTGACAGCCTTTCAGGTGGGCATGAAATGATAGAGTTAACAATGACTGTGCACCTTTTTAAATTTTTCCTTGTAGACACGTGTAACTTAAAATGAAGATTTACCTTCTTGCAGGATCTGAAATGCATGGTAGGAGCTTGATGTCACACTCCTTAGGGGTCTGATAATGAGAGGGTCAAATAGATATTAATATAAAAATGATGTAAAACTTGCTGCACTCTGCCAGAAGCCTCGTGTCCCTGAAGCAGTGTCACAGAAGGTAATACACATTTAGCTACAATCATTAATCAGGGTGGCTTTGAGCTGCAGCAGGGCATTGTGAATGGGCACACCTGAGGTGCAGGCATGCATTTTCCTCTGCTCGCTCTGCTGTCAGTCGCTGGAGAACCGGTGATTTCTGGAAGAGTAAGAGAAGTGGTTGGAGTGGTGGCATCTTTATATCTTACAGCCAGATCCAACAAAGCTTGTCTGCCAAACCCCTGGTAACCAGACTGTAAAAGTTGCAGCAGTGAGGAGTTTGCAGGCTGATAGGGAACCAGAATTATTTCGTCCTAGGGAACAAGAAATGCAGATAATTGACCTTGCGTTTGGTTCTTGAGTAGAAAATAGACAAGTCAAAGGTTTTCTGTCTTGCAAATAATGTCTTAAAGATGTTCATTACCAAAAAAAAAAAAGCTATTCTTGGTATAGTAACAATAATAATTAATTCCTCAGGGCCTTTTAAATTGTTATAACCATATAGAATCATAGAATTATATAAATATGTGACATTTTCATCTAGTTCTCTTTGTGTTGGTGTGTTTTTTTTCTCTAAAATAACATTTCTATTGATTTGCTTTCATGTTAACTTTTTAGAGTCCCTCTTGGTGTTTTTTGGTCTATTTTCCTGGGCTTAGTGTGGTTACACTTGCTTGAAGTACCTGATCCTTCGCTGGTTCCTCATTACCAGGCTGGTGTGGTGTCCTTTGGTCTTTCAGCAGTTATTGAACTTCTGGGAGAACCGTTCTGGGTTTTAGCACAAGCTCACTTGTTTGTGAGGCTTAAGGTTAGTGAAGTACATGGGGTGTGTGTGTCGGGGGTGAATTGTTTTTCTTGGTTGCAAAGAACAGGTTACTGAACTAGATCTCTTGGTTTTTATATGCCTGAACATACAAACCCTGTGTGTACTGTTTAGTACTGTACGACATAGTTGTCTCACAGATAGGAATTTGTCCCTGTTAAAGCAAGAATGTTGGCTTATTTAGAAACTATCACCTTAGTGATCATTAAATACTTAGTCATGAATGTTAATTGGAGGGAGAGGCACACAACTTCCACAGTTTTGCATTTCAGTTGACTGCTCTTACGAAATTGTGAAATGCAATAATTTGAGAATGTGATTGTCTCAAGCAAAATTTTCTCCCTTACGTTCCATGGAAAGGTCTGGGAAAGTGCAGTGGAGAAACTGTGAAATGCAAGAATAGAAAATTTACGGAGAAATTACTGTTCAAGACAGCCAGCTCAGCGTAAAGAGACTGTGATAAAGTCACACTGGCTTTGCAAGTCTTTTTACCTTCCTAAATAAATCCTGTGTGTGAAACTAATATATTTTAAGTTTGTGTATGTGGTGAAGTTGGCAGAAAATACGCCTCTGTTTTCTCTTTCTTAAAGGTAATTGCTGAAAGCCTTTCCATAGTGTCAAAATGCATTTTGACAGTTACGTTAGTAGCCCTTTATCCTCAATGGGGCCTCTACATTTTTTCCTTGGCTCAGGTAAGTTTCCTTTTCTATACGTTCTTGATTCATCTGAATTTTTATTTCTTTGACATTTAGCCTGCAAATAACTTTAGGGAGGCGAGAGAAGCAGCTTCTGGGAGGTTTAAGATTTAGCACTTGTATGTAGTTATTTTCCTAATGGTCGTTACTGACTAGGCACTTGGACCTCGAGCAGGTTAATGGGGGTGCAAGAAAGCATCTTCTGTCTGTGAAGGCACACTTTTCAAATGAGTTTATGTTTATCTGTGTGAGCTTTATGTTGACTCTTTGTCTTAATGAGTTACACATTCTAATGACTGAAGACTGTTCACCACCTGGCTTCAGAATTAATGTTAGACTTTGGCTTCTGTTGTGTAGAAGACTGTGATCACATGATAACTTTATCAGCCTGTGCCACCAGCCTATATCACCTTATCAGAAGGTTCTAACCATGAGTAACATATTCGGGTTAAAACTTTTTCTTTACTACAGTGAAGAAGGGATAGATTGGCACCTGAAAAATAGGGTCGTGGCCTGTGCACTGTCAGTTCACCTAGAAATAAAATGTGATCCACCTCAGATGTGGGCATTAGGTTATTTTTTTTTAGATCTTGCAGTGGCTGTAGTAGGTGCTTATAACTGATTGAAGCTGGAGAAAAGGAGGCCCAGGAGAGACGTTATGACACTCTGCAACTATCTGGAAGCAGGTTGTAGCAAAGTGGGTGTCAGTCTCTTTTCTGAAGTAACAAGTTAAAGGACAAGAGGAATTGGCCTCCAGTTGTGCTGGGGAGGTTTAGATTGGATATTAGGAAAAATTTCTTCACTGCAAGGGCTGTCAGGCATTGGAATGGGCTGCACAGGGAGGTAGTGGAGTCACCAGCCATGGAGGGATTTAAAGGACGTCTAGACATGATGCTTAGGGACATGACTTAGGGGTGGACTTGGCAGGTTAACAGGTAACAGTTGGACTTGATGATCTTAAAGGTCCTTTCCAACCTAAATGACTTTATGAATTGAGAGATGTAGACAGTAGCTACTCTGTCAACTTGATTTTTGAGCTAGTGAACAATTGCTTTATAATGGTACTTTAAATAATCAGTTTAATAATGCTGACTAGATCATGAAAGTTAGCAAAGGGCTGTGATAACATAGAGTTAAAAAAAATGATCAACAGCATTCTTGAGACATGTAAATGAAATTCTTCACCTAGTTTAATATTTGACAAGAATAAGGGCTACTAACTACATTTTCTTCTCTCTGAGTTTAGAAGTCTAGTATGTACTTCTAGAATGTAATTCTACATTTGTAAGTTAATTTTATATCACTTTTTCTTCCCTCCTTCCCTATCTTTCCAGCTTTTATATACCAGTGTTCTGGTAATGTGCTATGTAATTTATTTTATGATATTTTTGGGGTCTCCTGAAGCAACCAAGAAGTCATTTCCAGTTGCTAGAATGAAAGCTCTGTTACCTAACTTGGTTGAAGATGAGGTAGGCTGCACAGTTTATTTCTTTTCTCTTTTTTTTTTTAAAGTCTTTTTTTGGAAGCGTTTTGAAAATTAGTTTGAGATAGTGGAGTTAACTGAGTTAACGGGGTGGGTTTGGGAATATCTCTGCACTGTAGAAGATATGACCAGTTAAGGAAAAAAAAAAAATTACATAAGAATTCTGTTTGTATTAGTAAAATCCTTGTCAGAAAAACGTTACATAACTCTATCTATTTGTGGTTATGGGCTTGTTGCTGACTTACCTTTTAGAGTCTTTGCACAAACCATTAACAAGATCCACTGTGTGCAGAGGAATCATAGAATCATAGA